TAAATGTTTTGAGCATATTAAGAATGTTGGGATAAACTTACAATTGATCTTCTTCATAGATTTTCCTAACAATTTCATCAATCATGAGTTTCTCTTTCAGCGACTGCTCATAAGCTTCCTGTTTTTTCTTTTCTTGCTCTTCAAGTTGTTTCTCTAAGTCGAGGTAATACTGTGCCTTTACTCTGCTTCGTTTCTCTTCTGCAGCATTCTCTTGCTTTATTACTCTTTCTTGTTCTGCCATCATGATTTTGACTATTTCAGCATCACGTTTCTGTTATTAAAACAAAATTCATCTTTCCATTTTCAAATCTGAGCATAGTATGATAAAATATTTTAAACTGATGTAACCGAATATTTTAAAGCCTGTTATGTAAGTATTTTCATCATTCTAGGCAAAAAGCAAAAATAAGTCATTGTTACCTGAAGAGTTTAAATGATGAATCAGATCCTAAAGAAACATTCCTGTTTCTTCAAGGTACTCTCTCAGAGCATATCTGATAAGGATTATTAATAAATCCACATTTGAAAACCAGTAAATAAAATTGTAAGTACTTTATTAACAAATTAACTATTTTACCTGCCAAAGAAGTAATCTTCTTTTTCTTATCTATTTATAAGTTAATCTGGGCAATTTTCATAATTTTTCACTTTACTGCTAATTAGCTGCTATTTACAGTAGGATGTTACAACCTCTTTCTCACAGGTCTGCTACTAAACGGCTCCAAACAACTCTTAAGTTTCTCTCAGCCTAGATTTTCTTTCCTGCCATCAGCCCTTGAAGTTTCCCTTTTCTCTTTAATTAAAGGCCCTTTATACTCGCTTTAACTTAAAAGGGTCACAAATGTTATAGTGCTTGCTTCCTGTAATTTTTAATTCCCTCACTCAAGAACATTCTCATGAGTTAGAAACAATCTTTTCTTTTGAGTATTTTCAAGTCATTTAACAAAATAAGTTTTAAAATTGAATATAAAGGAGTAATTTTTAAAATTATCCTTTACCTTTATGATCATATCCTATATAATGGAATGGTTAGCAACATCAAACATAAAGAAACAGATTAAAATATGAAGGCTAAATGTTATTCCTGATGTAACTGATGCCAAAGCGTATGTATACCCATTTACTTGTTTGGCCTCTCTGTTTGATAATGAAAACTTACTTGATAATGTGCACTCTGCTTTTATATGATAACTTGATAAGCATTACTTTATATTTATACTGTATAAACTATTGGTAAGTATGTCTGAGACTTCTTTGCCCAAGAATAACTCTTAGCCTGTACTTGGTAGCAAGTCAAGAGTTAGAAAAGGGTATAAAAATAGAAACATGAGGAAAAGGGAAAGCTTATATAAAACAGGAAAGTTTTCCTACATAAAATTATAAAATACGTTGCTTTTAAAAACATATGAAAAATAAAAAATTTAATTACATTCTAAAATATACTTATCAAGCTAACAATTTGTATTATACTAGTTTATCAAAGAATAAATTCAGTTAGAGATCATAAAGAATGCTGGGAGTTACTGAATATAGCTATGTAGAAAACCTTTTGAAAGGCTCTAACATTAAATTAAACAAGGTTGCAAATGAAATCATCCAAAATTTTCTATATCTTAAAAGTCTGACAAGTATATAAATATTTGAGAAATCTAGCAGTGTAATATTCTTTATTACAGAAATCTAGCAGTGTAATAGAGAGTAACGATTAAAAAAATGATCTATTTTTGGTTTTCTAAATAAAGCTAAAAACATAATAACTGGAAACATGATTACCATTTGTTCATATTTAATAGCGTCTTTTTCAGCAATCTGTGCTGCCCTTTCTTTATTCATATAAGCTGCTTTTAATTTCTTCTCCAATTCTCTGAGCTCAAAGCTATTAAAAAAAAAA